CGTAGAGTTCGATGTTTCTGTTTACTTACCGAACTCCATGTCCACACACACGAGGTCAGTGCGAAACAAACATGAGACCTACATAAAACCGGCATGGCCACTCACATGTCAGCCTACTTTCTCAATATCTGTGACTCGGCTCAGGGCCGCGGGACGCACGCGTGTCCAAATGAGGAGTGGGGAATAACAGCCTAACTGCGTAACAATTCCCTTATTGGAGGGCAACGCGCTGAGTGTTCGTGAGGGAAAATGGAACGTAGAACAAAAAGAGGGCGCACAGGGATGTGAGAGGTTGAGGCTCCCACATTTTTTAGACAATCGGTTTACAGATGGCGGTAAGGTTCTCACTCTTAAGCGCCGGCAGCCCTTTACCCCCAGGAAGATTCCTGGTACTCATTTCTTATAGGGGCTGAGTCGACCCCAGGTCCATAGTGCGGCTGGAAGGATTAGGTCACATGAAAACATCGAGTGACCTCATCGGGAATCGATCCCGCGACCTTCCGGCTTGTAGCATAGTGCCTCAACCAACTACACTACCGCGTGCCCCCTACTGTACATATAGGAGATATTTAACGACGTTTTCAGTATCTGAGAATATGCAACATGGAACAGTAAGATGATTGGTGAAGGGTGAATTGGAAAGGATGTAGAAGGAAGCTAGAAGTTCATTCATTCACCAATGGCTCTACAGCCGTCTGTTGGGCCCTGGACTCTTCTTCAGTTTCGTAATCTTTTTTACACAGTCGGTATGACTCCTTTGATGGGGGATCAGCCCATCGCAAGGCCGCTACCTACCAACACAGCACAACATACATACAGACATACATGCCTTGAGTGGGATTAGAACCCACGATCCTAGGGTTCGAGCGAGCGAAGACAGTTCATGCATTAGACCGCGCAGTCACAGTGATCGGCCTTAATTAGAAGTACAGACCTGAATGTTGCCTGGAGGGACTGGAGAAAACCACCCAGAACTGTTCTCAGGACTAAGATATGAACCTGGGGACTCCTGGATGCGCAACACACATACAACTATAACATTCAGTATACGTAAAAGATAAGGGTATATTTGCCCCTGTACCTAATTAAGCACCAAGCGGGGGTTTAGCTCCGTGCGTTCTTAACCTTGGCACGAGATGGAGATAAGGGTCACTTTAATCGAAAGCAGGACAAGTATCCAACGGATAGGAGGCTGGGTGGGTTTCAGAATATGTCTGGACACTGTGGAGAAGACACGAATCTCTACCCTCTGCCGGGAATCGAACCCTCGCATATCCGACAATATGACAGCAGTTCATGTGATGTCGTGCGTCACGTGCTGACCCTTGTATATGAACGTCATCAAAAAGTGTAAGAATAAGCCAAATTTGGGTCAGTGAGACGCTTCGTAACCTGCACCCTTCAACAAGCATTATTAGGTTAGTCAGACAGTGGAGGATAAGACTGGTGAGGCATGTAGTACGCATGCAAGGGCTGAGAAATGCATACAAAATCTTAGTCGAAACTCCTGAATGGAAGATATAAATTGGAAGAGTCGGTTCAGACGACAATATTGCAAAAAGTTCTGGGAAGAACTAACAGCCTACTTTCCTTTGATACAAGGACCGCATAGAAAACGAAAGAATTAGGGGGCTGGACAGGCACACAGACACACGGACAGCAATGTGATCTCATAAGCCTTAGAATTGGTGGGGGGGGGGATATACAGACAGACAACAAGGTGTCTCATAAGCCTCGTTTAATTTTTCAAAATAATGGGAGTAGGCAAAAAATTGAATCTGAAAGAAATATGACGCGAAATTGGATTGGATTAATCTGGTGCTGGGTAGGAACTAGTGGTGGGCTATTGTGCTTTCGAATATCTTGAGTAGTTAAGCTACTATAAGCTTCTCAATATGACTCAGCTCCATGGAGCAAGTTACTTAACATCTCGCCATGGTATTTCAGTCTAATTACTCTGTGTAAACTGGGTGGGGAGTGAGAGGATTGGATTAATCCGGCTCTGAACAGGGACACGTAGTGAAAACAGTAAGGAACCTTCGGGTTCCATAAAAGGACGTTTATTTCTTGAGCAGCTGAGCGACTATCAGATTCTCAACAAGGACTCAACTGCTCGGTCTCCAGTGATACCAGATAATGTTAATGACCTGTACGGGCTAATTACGTATTATAAAACTGAGCGAGGTAAAGGACACTAGATTCTTGTGCCCGGGCCTAGGGTCGAATGCTTTCTCGCATTGAGTAGTGTGGAAGGCCGCGGTAAGAATAGCAGTTACGGTGTGCAAGATCTGTGTCAGCAGCACTAGCATCAGCCCGTACCAGTCACTGCAGATGTGAATTCCAGTGCCCACGAACTATTGATTCCTCGCCGAAATTCCTCTCAGGCATTGAACCTACCTTTAACTCTTTAAAGGCTAGTCAGAGTTACTTCACTACTGAGGTATACCGCCATTCGCTTCGTCTTGGCGCCAAGACCCTTGAGACTCACGACCAGAGATTTTTTTTGCAACTGAACCCTTGCGGTCATAGTCCTTATATAACGTCCTCTCTGACGAGAAAATGGGTTTGTGTTTATGAACAGGCTTCGCTTTTGTCAAGTGCGCAATTCGCACATACAGCGTGTTATTGAAAATTCTTAATTTTGCACTATATACAAGACCTCTGTCAGTTCAGGCTTTGCAGAGCAGGTCATGTTATCTTAAGTATCTTATGCTACAACGGCAGCTTAGTCACTATAACGGTTGTAAGCTTGACCACCGCCAAGTTTAAGCCTCTTATATTTTCTATGTCTGGCTTCGCCTTGTCCTATGCCGCGAACATGTTCATTCTCATGATTTTGTATGCCTTCTGCTTTCCGCCTGCGCAATTTTGTTATATAATCGTACAAGGCTGAAAGTCATGTGCAAATCGCGGAACGGTGTGCACCTTGGACAATTTTATATACTCGTACTAAATTTCTTCACAGGTTTATATAATCGTACAAGGCTGAAAGTCATGTGCAAATCGCGGAACGGTGTGCACCTTGGACAATTTTATATACTCGTACTAAATTTCTTCACAGGTTTAAATAAAAATCCATTTCGTACCTCACGCAATATTGTGTATTGGGGCCCATTTCAAGGGCCCCTATTTTTGGAGCTGGAACATTCATATTAGCCGGGCATCGACATGTGACAAACTCAAATCCGTCAGGCTGTTCAGGCGCTAGCGAGGTGGACACACATACATTATATACAAACAGACATTTTGACGGAATAACAAAAATTACTTTTTCATATTCAGGTGCGTTCAAAACGTGTAAATCCAACAAAATCTTTAGATATGTTTTATTTTTAACACCACAAAACTTTCTCATATATACAATATATACGAAAACGTGAAACAACGAATTTGGGGTGGCCTCTATTGGCATAATGTTCATATCAAATTTTGTTAAAAACTGTCCAACGGTTCTCGAGTTGAAACATGCAGACAGACCCACAGACAGACATGACCATCCATATTTTCGTACACGCTGTGTAACGGTCAGACAGGCTAAGATTCGAATATTGGACCTTCCGGACAGGAAGCAGGAATACTGTTTGAATGAGCCCTGGAGGCGGATGGTCGCCAGAAGTGGTGGGAAAGCAACAGAAGCAGCCCACATAGCTGGTAGATAAAGTGGTGGTGGCGCCCATCCCTTTCAGCGCTCAGTCAAAGAATACATAGCAACTATTACTCAGATATACACAAAACTACTCTTTCTAGAGATATAAAGTCAAAGTGGAGAACCAGTTCCATGCATTCTTGACCTCGGAACTAGATTGAGGTAAGTTCCGGCCGATTTATCCAGATGGAAAGCAGTCTGTACCTACTGTATATGCGGCTGGATGCGCCCCAGAGCCGGTCTGGATGCTGTGGAGAAGAGAAAGGTTTCGTTTCTATGCTGGGAATCGAACCCAGATTTCACCCATAATTTAGTAACTATCCCGACTCCTATTTCAGGGAGTTGTATTTTGGGCAATGCTAGAGTAAAGTCTCCTGAATGCAAAGCATCAAACGGCCACAGCATCTCTCACAGGGGACACGCTTGCAATCAACAGCCGGAGTGTTTCGCAATGCAAGAATGGCAAACTCATGATAAAAACGCTCTCCCATTAATAAATCGATAATTCTAATACTACGGCTTGTTATGCTGTCAGACCGACGGCAGGTAAGTCACGCCAAAAATGTCCAAATTCTGTTAAAATGTTAAACCGGTTAGTCGCCAGATTCTGGATTAAATTCAAAGCTGAAGGGTACCTATCTTCTGGGATGAGAAGTCATGTGGCCCGGTAGAAGAGTACCGAAGTTTCGGACGAAAGTACTGCCTCCATCTTCAGGGGTGAAGATTACGCCAAGTCAACCTCTGATGCTTGGCTTACGTTTCGATAAAGAAGGTGGAGGCAGAACATCCGACCAGACTAAACGGCATTATATTCCAGAGGACAGTAACCTACACACTCACCACTGCGAGAATTCATTATTGTTTTAAGATGGACCTTAGTGATATTGTCTTCTGGTATGTCATAGTGTGTAGTCCACTACTACCAATATTTCAGTGGAATCTGTCACCTCCATCTTCAGGGTAGATGGAAGGCGGAGAAAGAACGTGGAGACAGCAGGTCCTGCTGAGTAATTCGTAATGATAAGGATCTATAAGACTACACGACACCATGTCTCACAATACGGTAATCTTAACCGTTTCAGGATGTTAACTTCAAAAGTGTCCATTTTATTTCTGAGGAGAGAAGGAGATTAGAGTCTTTAATGATGTGACGCCGTGTAGCTTGACAAAGACGTCTCGGAGTAACCGTCTTTCTCCATCTCTGACCCTGAGGATGGATGTGCGAGGATCCTCCGAAACGTTGGTAAATTTTTACCAGACTATACGTTACCAAACCCAACAAGGCAGTAACCTTCTTTAACCCATCAGCTCCTCGATGAATGATTGATACAGGATGTTTCCAATCCGATTGCAGGATGGATCATCGTCGTCTCCGGAGATGTCTCCTCCTCGACCCCGGTCTCCGCTGTGTCTCTTCTACTTCTCGTACCCGTTCAGGGTGGCGGATCCGTGCGAACGTGAACAGTTAAGTATCCTACTGAACAGTCCAGAGAGTTCTTGGCTTTAGAAAGCGTCAACGAAATAGGTTTGTTGTGGAAAGGCGATTAGGAATTGTTCGTTGTAGGTTACGTTCATGCTTGGTTCCATCCCGTTTTACAATATTTCACGTATTATACAGGATGATCCTCTAAAGAACTTGTTTTAGTGACATTTAGGCAGGGATAAGGCTTTCCCTCTTCATCAGTGCATCCATACCAGGTCTGTGGCCTACCGAACCTCTTATTTAAAGCGTATCTAGGTATCTTTACCCGGGGGAAGGGGTGAAGCAGCTGGAATGTAAACCCGACCAGCCACCTTCATCTAGTGCCGAGATTAAGAATGCGTGGAGCTATACGCCCACTCTCCCATACATCTTCATGGTGTGATGCTTAATTAGGCATAGGTACCGCTTTACCTTTATCTCACCTGACAATTTTTGTCGGAATGTTCCAAAATATATGAAGTGCTCAATCACTGGATGACATTCAGAAAGCAGGAGATAAAGGATGAACAATGAAGAGAAACAACAGAAGGAACAGAACGGAAGACAGAAGAAAATTTCTAACGGACAAGCCAAGCTTCGATTCCAACCCCACGAACTTTTATTGGGGAAAACAAATTGAAAAAATACGGATATATACCATAATAATATAAAACACTGAAACTATTTTTAAACGGGGCGCCATTTGTGTTGAAACGCAGACATCCACAACTCTACAGCGATCCGTAAAAATATCGTAGTGTGTACAGCCGTTGCTATGCAATTACGGCGAGATAGGAGAATAAACAACGGCAATTTCCAGGCAATGGATTGGTAAACATGTTCCCGCAGCAATGAATACGTATGCAACAATACAGTTAGGGCTGGAAACGGTGTTTTATACTCGGTCCGTGCAAAGGGGATATACCGAAGACAATTGGGGCTGGAGGCGGGGTCGAGTATCTCCACCATGACCTTACGTCTCGTCGGAGGGGTCGAAAAGGGAAGTCTCAATTCTGAGACAGTAAAATACGGTCGCGAGTTCCAAGGGACTCGGACCCGAGAAAGACTGCGCTGGCAAGGACCAGCAGCATATGCAAAAGACAGACACGTCCTCTCGTCAGAGAGGGCGCCCCACAAAAACAAGACCGCAACTTTCAAATAGTAATAAATATCTGGTCATGAGCACCAGATGGGACTCGACACTAAGACTTCCTGACTGACCGTCTGTCGCAATGTGACTTCGACTGTGGAGTAGTCAGTTGAGAGCTGACAAGCGAGTTCTGCAAGCGAGGCTGAGAAGAGATGGCGCTATAGTTCAGTTGTGGAGTGATAACCAGCGGGCAACGGCGTGACCACAGAAACTGAAGACTCTCCATTGCTGAGAACTGTTACCAAGCAGAGACCAGTGAAGACACTGCAGGCTGGAGAACACTTAGCGTGCAATGATTTGCAAAGTGTGGAGATAAGCGATAGTGCTGTGAGTGCTTGTAGTTCCAAGTCGTGTGTGTAAGTGGTCAGTAAATACATTCATCAGTTCAAACCCCGTCTATAGTCACACATAAATCACGACCATATTCTTTAAGCAAATTTTCTGTCCGTCCCCCTTAGAAGATCCATAGACCTTGATGGGACAGAGCTGTAGACAGTTGGTTTCTGCCCTACTTCTGCTCCATCGCACACCTGACAGGTGTCTCTGCAAGTTAAACTCGACAAATGAGATCATATTGACGTCACAACCTTGGTCACGCCCGTGACTGATCCCCCTCAGGATGTCCAAAATAAATCTCCCCTTCGCAACAAAACAAAAAGTTTCTGTGACGTAAAGTAATAATTTCTGAACACAAAGCCCAATTTTCATGAAACTCTATGTGAAAATTATGTAGCTAGAGGTTTCCTCATTCTCATATTATTATTCCTTCGAAATATAATATTAAAATGGTTGCAATGTAAACTTATGAGGTGGAAACAACATTGCCAAAGGAATGTCCTGCTTTTCTGTAACGCGAGAGGCCCAACAAATCCATAAAGCGAAAAAGTAACATGGTGATCGCGCGAAATGCACAAACGCCTACGCTGTACTGCAATATCCTATTGCACTGTGTATTCTAATTTTAGCACTCACACTTCACCGTGTCTGTGCAGCTCCGTCCATAATCTGAATTCACACTCCGAAGGCTCTTTGTCTCTTCATGTTATTTCTTTAACATTGCATGTTTCGGCCGTGGCCATCATCGGGTGCCTAAGAGTTTAGACTGAAACTGCTGCTCTGTTGTGAGGCTGCTGTAAAACGTAAAACATTAAGTTATTTTTTTTAGATTATAATGCCGTGGAACAAAATTATTTTCAGTTTGAACAGAAATATTACAAACAGATGGCCTAGCCATGGATGCCCCAACATCAGCTATATTAGCTGACGCATGTATTCAAAACATGGCACACAAACAAATATAACCAATATTAATAAAACACCAAAGAATCGGATACTTTCGCCTTCTTTCTCTTCCTGCTTCTACGGCTTCACATTTTCCTCTGCAGTCTTCTCTCACTTCCTCCTCCATATTCTCACTATCTTCCTTCCTTCTCTTCTGACTTCCACAATTGTGTATTCAGGGCCTAAAAGCCTTATTAAATACCACATTCCTCGAACAGATCACCAGTTATTATGACTGAATAGAAACGTTAATAGTGCTTGCCACTGGACTCCAGCTTTTACTCCAGAGCCAGTTTAATACAATCCACACTTTCATGCTCCATTCTCTAAGATCCATTTGAATATTATCCTTCCGCCTACATCCACTTTCTTTCGGAAACGCAGAGACGGAGCATTTTGTTCTAGTGGTAACGATAGGGAATGAGTCAGTTCCAGTCTTGGCTGGCACACCGACTACCCTAGATGAGGTTTCTCATGGTTTCGCACTTGGTCCCACATTATGTAATGGCTCACGTCTCTATAGGATCATCCTGTATAGTGTCTGACCAACTGTGATATCGGTTAGAGAGATCCAGTCATCGTGCCAGCACGAAGTATCGCCTGGTGTCACGGGTCTGGCATCAAAAAAGCGGGTATTGTGCACTCTAATAAAATTAACCACGGAGCTTGTTTTCTAAAGAATGAATCGACCTTCACCCAAGTGTCTGGTAGTGAGAGCCACCTCATCTTCGACCTATCGATCCAAATAGCGTTGCAATAACCTCACGGTGACAGATACTGTTCCGTAACATTTGGCAGCTAATGATATAATCAATTAAAAGCTGAGCAACAGTTTGCGCTCTGTATAAAAGACATGTACCAACTACATAAGTTATTTAGTGCCGAAAGAAGAGAAAAAAGTGATTATGCATCGTGAATTGAGGAGTTGGGGTAGTAGTGGAATTACCTTTGAAAATCTGACAAAAATTCTTAAAAAGAATTCTCCGGTGCGCCGACCGAGATTCGAATAGGGTACGTCCCAAACAGAAGTCAGTCCGTCCTGTAAAGGAAAAGGGGCAACAGTAACAGTAGCAGTTTAAAAATAACACGTAGGAGGAAGAGGATATCATGATGTTACAAGCAAGGGACGAGGTTAGAGATAGTTATGTACGACAGTCTGTGACGAGATGATTTCAGAGTATGAAGCTTAAGAATCTCTACTGTTAGAAGCCGTTGCCCAGGAACGGCTGGTGAAGACACAGCAGGCTCTTTAAATATTTCTCGTCGCAGAAAACGTTTCGAATAGAAGTTGTAGAGAAGAACGGGAAACATATTTCATGCGAAATGCATTTTCTGTAGGTATTACGGTTTCCGAGATATACAAATAAAAGGCACCGAACCCTCCAGAATTGTTATACTACATTTCCTAGCCTAATTTACTCCAGAAAAGTAGCGGCTCCGGTGTAGAAAACTGAAATTAACGACCGTGGAGATTCGTTACGCTGACCAGGCGACACCCTCTATCTGCTAAAGTCGGCACTAACTTCGCCGACAAGCGGCGGTCGCTCGGTCGGTATAGTTCGCTTGCGGACTCAAACGACGGAGTTTCTTTGTTTGTTAACTTGCTCCAGATAGATAGAAAAGCGACAATAATATTATGAAGCAGTTCATTGGCGGAAGTCCTTTTCTCCAAACAACAATCATTATAATGTAAGATTTGAGGCTTTCACGGCGGTGACTATGAAGAAAGCAGTCTCCTGGGATTTGGCACCGTGTATATGTGGTGTTAACCGACGTTTCGGAGGAACGTATCGCCTCCATCTTCAGGGTACAAGAAAAAATATATAAGAATCTACAAGCAAAGAGACCGTGAGAACCGGTAAAAGCAGACTGTGGGAAATATTTTTCCACAGTCTGCTTGAAGTTGAACTGTTACTGGTAGAAACTTTCGTTAAAATTTAAACTGTAAATTGTTTTAGCCCTATGAAGCTAAACGACAGAGACAGAAAGTGGGAAGGGAGGAGTGAAGGGCACTAATTTAAGGGCTGAGGGGAACAGAAAGATTTTCGGGCTTTGAAGGTTCCCAGGCAATGCACTAGTTGGCACTAACTTCGCCGACGAGCGGCGGTCGCTCGGTCGGTATAGTTCGCTTGCGGATTAAAACCACGGAGTTTGTTTTTTGTTGTCGTATGCCGAAAATAACATTTAATAATTATAATAATTTCACGGAGCTCAGCCCTTCTTGAAAAGCTGCCAGTTGTGCAGCTACTCAAGAACTTCCCAGCATTTTATGGAACCCAAGGGCTCATTGCCGTGTTCACAAGAGCTCTCCACTGGTCCATATCCCAAGTCAGATCAATCCAGTCCACACCACCCCATCCTATTTCTATAAGATTCATTTTCATATTGTCCACCCACCTACGTTTTGGTTTTCCAGAGATTTTTTCCTTCTGGCTTTCTCACCAATATCCTGCATGCATGCCTCTTCGCCCCCACTTGTGCTACATGCCCTGCCCACCTAATCCTCCTTGACTTGATCCTTCTAATTATACTTGGCGAAGAGTACAAGTCATGAAGCTCCTCATTATGTAGTTTTCTCCAACCTCCTGTCACTTCATCTCTTTTCGGTCCAAATATTCTCCTCAGCACCCTGTTCTCAAACACCCTCAGTCTATGTTCCTTCCTTACTGATAGGGACCAAGTTTCACACCCATACAGAACCACGGGCAAAATTAAAGTGCTGTATATTCTGATTCCTTCCGCATCCTGTCCACTTCATTGCCGTCTTCCAGTCATTCAACACACTTAGTCTGTGTTACTAAGAGCGTCGTTAAATGAACAAGAAGCGGACAGCCAGAGACAGTGCCACTGACCCGTTTCTGTCTTCACACTGTGCCAGGGCGATAGCGTCTCGCCGGAGAGGGGTCGCAGTGCATGCGGTCCTCAAGAAGCGCGACCGGGCGCAGCAAGCACGCCACAAGAGGTCTGCCCCTCACCGACGGGTTTGGAGACGCTACCTGAGGGAGCCCTTCTGGGACCTCAAGACTAGCCTGTTCGCCCACCGTACAGGTATGCGGGACACACCGACGCTATATCAACTGCAGAAGACATTATTTGCGACAGGGAATTTTTCAGACATAAAGTAAAAGTAGAAGTAAAGGTTTCCTTGTAACAGGCCGTGGAGGCCCATAGGGCTGTGAGATGTTGAGGTTCCCACATTTTCTAGACAATCGGTTCACAGATGGAGGTGAGGTTGTCAGCCTTACGCGCTGACCGGGCGTCCTTCATCCCCAGGAAGATTCCTGGTACTCATTTCTCTCACAGGTTGAGTCGACCCCAGGGCCATAGTGCGGCTGGAAGGATTAGGTCAACTGAAAAAAAAAATCTCATCGGGACTCGAACAGCGACCTTCCGGCTTGTAGCATAGTGCCTCTACCAACTACGCTATCGCGTGCCCCCTTCACTTGGAAGTACCGAGCTTAGAAGAAACATTCTAAGAATGGAATGGTAACAGCAGGGCGCTGAAGTGCCGACGCCGTTAATTTCGCAAGTTGCGGTCAACAGTCTGGTCAAGATGGGGTCACGCGAGAATTGACCACGCGGTATTGATCAAGGAACCCGCAAGAATAATTCTTCGGAGTCTCAGTTCCTCGGCAGAGCCCGTACACGCCACTCGACACGCCACAAGCGATATTGGCGTTTGTTTCTCGGGAAACATTTCAACATGTCAGCGTCTTCGAGGCGTGTTACTGGTGACAGTGCTAGTGGTGACATCTTCAGTGAGCACAGAGTTCGTGACGTACCTCTCAGAAAACCTTGATAGCTTGTATATTATTGTAAAATTGGTCTTGACATATTTGGTAGGCAGAGAATTCGTGGCGGACCTCCCAGAAAACATGTTCTTGACATACTGATAGCTTGTATATTATGCCATTGTTGGTATTGACAATAGTTCGTGGGGAACCTCTAAGCAAAGGTGATTGTTTAGAAGTGGCATTTTGATAGCATGTGTATTATTGCATTCTTAGGATTCTTCAATGAGGCGACAGTAATAAGAAAACATGTAACTGTTCATAAGTGACATCTTCGTGGCCTGTGTATTGTACCACAGTCGACACTGTGTTCTTCAATAAGCAGACAGTTTGTAACGGACCTCACAGAAAACATTTGATTGTTCAGAAAGTCCTACATGTAGTGGACTGCGGCGATAATTCCGAAGTGAGTATTGATTTAAAGCGCTAATGAAATCATGTGGATTTAGAAGAAGGTAGTCCTGACAGAGGAAAACCACGTGAAACCTCAGAATAGCCAATATCCTGGCCGAGATTCTAAACCAAGACCTTCTGGAATACGAGTCTAGAGTGTTACCGCTTTACCGCCCCGCCTGGAATTAAATTGTTTTTAATTTCCGTTTCCTGTTTAAACAATTTCCATGTACTGGAAGTAACGTTTACCTAAGTATTTATAAGAAACTGCATGTACTCTTTGATGCCTGGATCTTGTGGATTTCGTGCTTGTCGTGCTCTTCCACCCTGAAGATGGAGGCAGTAAATTCCTTCAAGATGTCGGTGGACTTCAATCGGACTACAGGGTGTTATATCCCTGAATACAATTTTCTTAAAAGTCTTTAACGTTTGTTAATATAGTTTCCCGCACACACCCAGGCTAATGAGCACTGCTCATTCACGTGATATCTGGGGGCGCACAACATACGGCACTCACAATGATTCACTGCAATTTCTGCGTAAAGCTGTTTCTATGCTTAATTAAGCACCGCTCCATGAACCGGAGGTATAACTCCACGCATTATTAACCATGCCACCAGGTAGAGGTGAGTGGCCAGCTTCAAGCTACGGTACTTTACCACCGTTGAAAGAGAAACCAGTAACCGCTGGACAAGAGTCTGGATCTCAACGCTGCCGAGAAAATAACATTTCTTGCCTCTGTCGTGAATCGAACAGTGACTTCTCGGTCGGGCAGCAGGTAGCTTATGACTTCTCGGTCGGGCAGCATTTGCACTAGTATCAGGATTGTCACATATAAGAAGGGGTCTGGATTTGATGATTGAATTTATTAACACCTCATTTTACAATCACTCGCAATCTCAATAAATTATAGCGCTATCGCTGCTCTACCCAGTTCAAAAATCATTAGGACACGCTAAGTCGTATCCTGGCAACGGATTTATAAGTCTCACCGTAACTACAGTACACATAAAGTCTCCTCTTCACAGGCCGACTTTCAACTGACAACTGAACTACGAGTGACTGACAATTCAAAGTCAAAGTCACGTTGCGACTGATAGTCAGTCAGTAAGTCTTCATGACCAGATCTGTTACTGTTTGACAGTTACGGTCTTGGTTTCTTGTGAGGCGCCCTCTCTGACAAAAGGACGGGTCTGTCTTCCGCAGATGCTGCTGGCCCTTGCCAGCGCAGTCTTTTTTCGGGTCCGAGTCCCTTCGTACTCACGACCATATTTACTGTCTCAGGTTTGAGACTTCCTTTTTTGTCCCCTCCTATGACTCGCAAGGTCACGGTGGAGGTATTCGACCACGCCTCCGCATGGGTTACTATCCTCCTGACTGACAATTATTGTTGGCTGTTTCTTATATACCCTTGGATCGGACTACAGCAGAGAAAACATCCGTTGCCTAACAATGGATATATGAGAACCATACAGAAAACACCTAATGCAACACTGGTTCTATTATTGTGTTTACAGCGCCGTTGTGTAGCAACGGAAGTTATCCGATTGTTGCCTGGGTATTTGTTGCCGCGGGGATGTGTTTACCGAGCCGATCCCCAGCAATGGGTCTACATGTCACAGTATAATAGTTGTGTTCTCCGTTTACAGTTGACGCTGTCGAAACGTCGGTTCCGTCTCTAGATGAGGTGCTCAACACAATCCGCAGGGCCTGGGAATCCCCACGGTGCCTGGTTTCTGACAGGTGAGTGTGAATGCCACTCATCACTGTGCCTGTTGGATCACTGGACTTCAGTGTTGCTGTGTCGCTCCCAAAGTCATGCGGCTTGCTTCAGTTTAGAAAACCAGCGTAGCTTCGGGGGCTATAATTTCTCCCAGTATAGATCACTCATATAGCTTATTTTTGTTTTGTTCTCCTTACTCGTATTGGTTCATTAAGCGCACTGGTCACCTCCTCCCTCTCCCAGAATCACTATTCTACCCTGAAGATTGTGGCAGTATGTTCCTGTGAAACGTCGGTAACGCACTCTAGCATATTACACTGCTTACATCCCATGAGAATATCAAATCTTACTTGAAGGCGAAGATTCCTCCGAAACGTCTGAAACTCTCCACCAGATTACAAGGCGTTATATCAAAGAGGACAGTTTAGTTTTCTCTCTAGAATATACGCGTACATTTAAAGCCTTCGGAATTCTAAATATACCAAATCAACGACTCATACCTCTCGTTATACAGACCTGGTACATGAAACGTCTGGCCGAGTGGAGAAAGTGCAGTATCTACTCTGTTTATTTTAGCCTGGCCGTTCTCGTCGGAATGCGCAATGGATTTGATCGAGTCCGGTAACTGCTTTAAATGCTGTAGGCGCTGTATGGGATATAAGTGCTCTCTCACAACAATGTAGCTGCAACCAATGATCCGCTATTTGTTGCCAGACTGTTCATTTTCCTCATGCGCATCCCAGACGCCAGATCCAGATACACTGCCTGTACATCTGTGACGCGTTCATTACAGGGCACAGTCCTGGCTTCATTTAAATGCGATTTACGCGATAAGAAGTTACTTCCGGGTTCTGGGCTGTCTTAACGAAACCCTGTGCAAACCCCAGGGAACGGAAAAAACAGTAGTCACGTGATAGCTTGTCTGCGGAAGTGGCGTGCAGGCGAAATATATCAGCGGCGTTCATTATGCAAATCGCAATGGTATTCCAACAAGCAGTAGTAATGCTTTCAGCTCTGTTCCGAGGTGAGTACTGTACATGTGAGATACGAGGTTCTCACAGCGGTGAGTAGGAAGATTATGGTTTTCTGGGATGTAACGCCGTGTAGCCATATTTGTAATTCATATAATGATGCTATAGTAGCTCAGACAATATTATACAGAGTCGAATCATAGGGCGATAATGAATAATGTGGGAGAAAGTGAGTATGGCCAAAGTTAAGGCATCTGCCTGTAGGGAAAAAAGGTAAAGCTATCCGTGTAACAGGCCGTGGAGGCCAACAGGGTTCTGAGACGTCGAGGCTCCCACATTTTCTCTAGATAATTGGCTCACAGATGGCGGTTAGGTTGTCAGCCTTAAGCGCCGGCCGCCCTTTACGCCAAGAAATATTCCTGGTAGTCATTTCTGTTAGAGGCGGAGTCGACTCCAGGGCGACAGTGCCGTTGGAAAGATTAGGTCAATTGAAAAATCCAATGAACTCATCGGGACTCGAACCCGCGACCTGCCGGCTTGTAGCATAGTGCCTCAACCAACTACGCCACCGCGTGCCCCGCCTGTAGGGACTGAGCAAAATAATAAAAAAAGAAACCTCAGACAGGACAGGCGGTGGCCCAGTTGAGATCCAAACTGCGAAATTTCAGAATGTAAGTCAGTGACGCTGTGCAGTGTGGTAGTTACCGACGTTTCGTGGCAACCAGCTGCCTCTATTTTCATGGTTGAAGAATGGCTTAACTATTTTAGAACTATGCCACGAAGGCGTGTGGGGAGTGGCTGTATGGATCCATGTTTTCTTGACTTCGATATTAGTTGGGAGTGGTCAGCTTCACGCCCCGGCCGCTTTACCACGGGCAAAGGGACCCTGTTCCTATTGGATAGAAGCACGGATGGGCCACAGAGCCGGTCTGGACGACGTGGAGAAGAGTAAATTCTCGTCGCTACCGGGACTCGAACTCCTACACTTCGTTCGTGCAGCCCGTAGCCGGTCACTATACCGACTGCGCTATCCGAGCTCGAGAAGAATGGCATGACGCTTAATTAATCAGAAGGACAGACTTAACTTTTATCTTCAGTATGAATCTTCTAGACCAGCGTTTCTCAACCGTCGGACCGCGGCCCGCTACCGGGCCCTCGTCTCATAAAAAAGAATTTACTGGGCCGCGGTCTCACAAAGGCTGAGAACCACGCTCTAGACATCGGATCGGATAGGTCTCATTGTAGGGGGAGGGATGCGGCCACTGTCAGGCTTTTCCTGCGCAGGACAACACAAATACGGACAAATATCCGGACACAGTGTACATCTCTGCGCTGACTGGAATTAGAAGCCTAATTCCAGTGCTCAAGCGTTCGAAGACAATACGCGCCTTAAGCCAGTTTTCCATTAGAGTTTTTGGCGTTATTTTGCGAACTGCTGGTAGCTCGTGTGGCTGTGTGGAAACAGCTCCACTTATATCAAAGGCCTGCTAAGATGCGAAACAAAAGATGGCAGAATCTGAAATTTCCGACAAATTTCGTTAAAATATTGACGTATCAGAAATAACTCTGTGACGTGTGCCAATAACAGCAGTTGAGAAACTGGGTCAATTGTGTGGACGTACTGTCCGAGTGTCTGAATTCCAAGGAGATGCTCTACTATTCCAACAAGAAGTTCCAAGCACAACTAATAACCGCCATTATCCATTAAATACTTCAGGAAGCAGCGTACAGACATTTCCCATAAGAAAAAAACGTCGCCATTTCAAACGAGAAGTTCGGAAAAGAACTTCGACGCCAGACACGCACCCTCTTGACGTTATAAGATCTGGGGGTTTCGCGGCAGTGAAAATTCAGAATGTGGTTTTGTGGATTATGTCTCATGGTGGTCTGCTAGGAGTGTACCACCGTTTTGGAGGCCTCCATCTTCAAGGTAGGTTCTAAAACCTAGGAACCTACTGCACCCATCTTCAGGTTGAATTCTACGTTCCGGAAGCATACTGCCTCCAACCATTAAATTGTAGCAACATTCTGCCTCAATGCTGAAGTTAGATGCTACATTCTAGGAGAATACTGCCTCCACATTCAGGTTAATTTCTAAATTCTAGGAACACTCTGCCTCAAACTTCACGATTCATTCTAGAATTGTAGGAACCTGCTGAATCCAACTTAAACTTTATTCTAGATTGTAGGAACCTGCTGAAACTTCAGAGTTGCTTCTAAATCGTAGGAACCGAAAGTTTATATGTCTATTGCTTAGACTAAAATTCCAAGAGTACAAAATCCGCATCTTCTGACTGGCAAGTATAGCATAGCAATAAACTGTTGCTGGCCTTCGCCAGCACAGTCATTCTTGATTTCGAGCCCCAATTACCAAATTTTTATTCGTTTTAAGGCCGTTTACGAAGTTTGGAAACGGGATCTCCTCTTTGACGAGAGGAGGGGGTTGGTCTTACGGCAGAGGCGCCGTATTTGTCGCAGCGTATCTGACAGGCAAAACACACAGAAAACTGGAGAACATATTTACGTAGGATCCAGTACTGATGCTTCATGGTAGTTGAACTGACAAGTGCAGCTAAAATGCAGACAATTTCTGCTGGCTAAGACGATTTTCTAGCCCGTATATTAAGCCAGTGCTTCTAGCCATTCAAACGTCTTCACTTTCTCACTACTCTTATCGAAATGAGCAACGGCCGAAACCTGCAAAACCTTCTAAGAAAGCGATGGTATTCCTCTACTCAGAATAAAGCATTTCTCACTTCTCCCACGACTTTCCCTTTTCACATATTCCTCTGCCGTTCTTTCGTCCTTCTTCCTCAGGAAATTCACGTTCCAAAAGGCCCACACAATATGTTCGAGTTTCCTACGGTTCTGAGGCCACCTGATCGATTTCGTAGCAGCCTTGTGGCGTGCATTCCACGGAAACAAAACAGCCGGAAGGCTACGTGATGTACCGTTCTCCTTACGGCTCGTTCCGGAGGAGTTCGGAGTGACCTAACTGGACCACACCGCCTTACTGCCACGCGATTCTTCTTTGTTCAATGTACAAAGTAACGGGCATCGTCTAGCGGTAACGCCCTAGATTTGTATTCGAGAAGTTCTCGCTTCGAACCTCCGCTGGGATATCGACTATCCTGACTCGGGGCTACTAACTGCGCCGTAGAATTACAAAATTCAAAACAGACTAAAAAGTGTCCAGCGTAACATGACCCGGCCGTACGCTACAAAGCAAACACATACCAAAAGAAAACGTATCACCTCATTTCCCATCATGAGAAGTATACTAATAATCAAACAGTTCTGGGAAGAACTAATCACTTATTTTACTTTAATATAAGGAACGCATGAAAAACAACGCGTCCAACAATTCTTCTATTATTGCGTATGTATTCGTTGCGGTGGTAACTTCTTTTTACCGAGCCGCTACCTAGCAACGACAGGGGATACACATACAGAAGTGAAGTTCGCCGTTGAAATGGGCTCAGATGACATGATACAAAGATTGGTTCAACCATTCAAAAGTTAATGGGGGGGGGATTCACGAACACCTAACATGGAGATCTCCTAAGCCTACTTTAGACTGACAACTGCTCGTGCGAGCAGGTAGTTAGAATTCTGATAGCATGACCCTGCTGTCTTCCTGCCTGCTATCAAAAATATATAAAGATTAAAAAATACAAAACTATATAATTCTATCCCTTGTTTTATGTAGATGTGGACTTTGGACTCTCACCCTAGGCAAGAACATAAACAGGGTGCTAAGCACAGTATTTGGATCTAAGGTGAAAGAAAAAGCCGAAGCATGGCCCAAACTGCATAATGAGATCCATAATTTTTACCAAATATTATGAAGACCATAAAATCAAGGCTATCATGAGCAGGGTATGTAGAAGTACAGCAGAGATAGGAAATACATATAAAAGTTTGATAGTAAAAGCTTATGGACCATTTTGAAGCCATAAGCATAGAGGAGATGATAATATTAAAACGCATCTTGAGGAAATAGGGTGAAAGGAGGTAGACTGGAATCCTGTGGTTCAGGAAAGGGACCAGTGGTGGGCTCTTCTGAAAGCGGTAATGAGAATTTTCAATATAAAGTGTAATATCTCTTGACTATCTGAGTAATTATTAGCTTTCTGAGGGCTCTGCTCTGCAAAGTTACTATGTCTGACTGACTGACACACAACCTCACAAACCAAGTAACTGAAGAACTGCATGTTTTGTCAAATAAGTGACTCACTGACTAAAATTAACAGTCAGTTATTAACCCTTTGAAACACAGTGGTTAGTATATGTACCATCTGCTGTAACATTAAGAAGACTGCATGTGGCCCATGTAGTGTACATACTGGTTTCATTAAGATTTTCAAAATAAACAGCAATGATTTCAATATTAGAGTTAATTTCACCGACGACACAACACGTTTTTATTATTGTCACACTACATGTTTCGGCCTCAAGAGGTCATCCTCAGGTGTACGAACACAGTTGCACAATCACACGCAATCACATTCGTTTTTCCACTTATTTCGATCCTGTATCCTGTTCAGGTTTATGCTCAATAATATATGTCAAGTTTCTTCTTATAAAATACAAGTTGAAAATACTATTCCAAATGTTAAAAGTTAAAATTTAAAATTTAAAAAATTTAAAATTTTTTTTGTGAGTCGAAGTTCAACTTCGATCACTGGTTATATTTTCACATTCACTTGTTTTCTCTGTGTATAGTTCACTTTAACTAGTTATATTATTACCACTGGTTAAAAAGTTCATGAATTAAAGTTCAACTTATCATATTGGCTGCACTTTCACTTTTTAAGGTCTCGCTGCTCTTCCGCGTCCTCTGATGCTGGATCTTTTACAAGGAACGTAATACCTGAGGATGACCTCTTGAGGTCGAAACATGTAGTGTGACAATAATAAAAACGTGGTGTGTGGTCGGTGAAAGTAACTCTAATATTGATTAACTACACAACAGGATGCAAGAAACAATTAAAGCAATGATTTCCTTATATAACAATAACCAGGTGGTCTTCGTAACAGAGATGCAGTGCTTTCTGTGAGGTAGGAATTGCGTGTTTAAATATAACTTAGATGAATGGGCCACTCTGTTCCTGGGGAATATAAATACAAGGACCTGGTCCTCCAGGTTCGGGGGTGTCCAATCTGAGACAGTAAAATGTTCTCATGAGTCCCACAGGACTCGGACCTGAGGATGATTGCACTGGCAAAGACCAGCAATAATTATAAATGACAGACTCGTTCTCTCATCAGAGACAGAGCCACACATAAACAAACCTGCAACAATCTTACATTAATAAAAATTTGGTCTTGGGAACCCAGATGGTGGTTTGACACCAAGACAGACTGGCTGACTCACCGCTGGTCATAACATAACTTTGACTTTGACCTTCATACTTCAGAGGTTTGATTTACTTCATCTCACGTTTGTCTCAAGCTCTGTAAGTGTAAATAAGACAAATTCTTTGACAGTAGGCGATGTCATATGGTGTATACTGAGGACTGAGGTACATGGCTGGTGTTTTTGCAGGGAAGCTGGTGCCTGCGAGGAGCAGTCAACCGTGGTCGATATGGGGACCGATCGAGAGATGAGCAGTAAAATACAGGGTCAGATTCCTACCAACCCAGGCCTCCCACATCGGCGGTACTCGGTGCCAGAGACTGTTATGAGGAAGTATTCTCTGTCCAAGCAGCAGTCTGGCTCCAGTGACAGTGGAGTAGCTACTGTACCAGTTGCAACCCCCGACACGATCTCCAGTGACCCCACAGCCAAAACAGGAAGCTCCTCTGACGATCCCCCAGCTGAGACTTCACCATCACACTCTAGTGATCACAACAGTGATGAAATGGGTAACACAGTTGGGAAAGGGATTTGCTCTCCTGACCTCAGTGAAAGTGCAGTGAATATCACTCCTACCAAATCCACATTGGACACAGTGTCTGAGCAAAGTAGTAAGTCAGTGTTGGGTAGAGCAACTGAGGGCACCCAAACTTCAGCTGAAGCATCTTCGCCCACTACAAGAAACCACACAAGTCCAGAAGATATTACAGGATTCGCAGAGCCAAAGATTTCAGCATCTGATGATTCGTTAGCAATTCCAACAGTACTTGGTGACAACAAGCCACTTTCCACACCAAGCACAGGAGTAGAACCAAGTTCACCACACAGTACTGAGTCCACTGAGCCACCAAGTTCAGTGAAAGATGATTTATCGCCCTCCCAGACATCAGGATTAGAGTTCACAGGTAGTAGCCCTTTATCCACCCTTAAAAAAGAGGAATATCAAAGTCCAGGATCTGTTGACCAAAAAAGTGTTTTGCAGGGTGAAATGTCTTTCACACAGACAAAAGTGGCTGAATTCAATGATTATACTTTGCAGTCCATGCACAATAAAGAATCGATAGGAAGTTCTGACAGTGTGGGAAATGGAGAAGTAGAAACAAATATTTCAAGACGAGACAACTCTGTACACAGTGAGTATACTGGAAGCGTTCATTCATCTGCAGATGAAAGAGTGGAGCATCAGAGTCCATCCATGGTCAAATCATCCGCCTCACAGATGACAGAAGTTGAATCTGCAGAAAGCAAGCCGCCCATTACTTCAGACACAATCTCGTCAACACCTGGGAGGTCCTCCAGAAACAGAATTTCCATGCCGGAGGCTTGCTTTCAGAAGTCCACAGTATCTCCAGACCAGCCACCGCTCCTGACAGACATGACACAATGTTTGACACCTGGTGGAGAAGTGAGTGTTAGTACACCTGACCCTGAGCAGTCACACAGTTTGTCTTCAATGTCACACCAGGCATCAGAGTCCTGTAGCATTACACCTGTGGAGTCTAGCATCAGTGGTTCATCGCCCGAGAGGCCTTCAGTCACAATGCCATCTCTAATAAGCTCCACAACCCCTCCGTCCAGTGAAAACACTGTCTCCACGCAGGATGCAACACTCAGCTTGAGGTCAGATTCAACTGCGCTCAGCACGCCTTCTAGTATCATCAGGGAGTGCGATAATCCTGTTGCGCATCCTGGGCAGACTCAAGTTTCACATTCTGAGAAATCCATAGACCATATTGATTTCATGAATGAGAGTGTAGACACTGACAGCAGACCCATTCTGAATATGCTGGGCAGATATGTAAAGTCGCAATCAGCGGAATCAAATTCACAGAAGACAGAAGATAGTGGTCATGCCGTGGAACCTGACTGTACACTTGGCAACGCCAAGAACAATTCCAAAGAAAGAGGCGAAGCTGAACCTCCTTCAGGTAGCCTGCAACTCTCTCATAAGCAAGCGTCCACAAACACTGAATTTGAACATTGTAAATCCCAATCAAAATCCTGGGAAATCATTATACAACCTACAGGGGTACAGAGAGACCCATCCAAATGTCTCAATAATGATGTTGCTTGCAAAATCAAAACTGAAATTCCAGGAAATAAAATGTCAATTCTTCCATCAAAGAAACAGGACATGGAATTCTGCGGAAGTAAGACATATCTGCTTATCAAGCCAATCAGCTCCACCACAGTTCAAACCCACACTGCTGAGTTCTGTGGAACTGCAACATACCCACCAACAAAGTCTAGACTCTCTCCAGGTATCCAGGCAGTAGTATCATGCTCCACTGCAAGTCTTTCCACAAGTGAAGATATGGGTCCTTATGGCTGGAGCAGGCTGACAGATGAGGAACACACTGTTCAGCTGCAACTTCAGCGACACAGACTGTGGATGAACCGAAGAATCTCGGCTTCCAATGCTCTGCCCACCTCCCCCAGGCATGGCCCCATCGGTTCTTGTGTTGGGATCGGAAGTACATACCGCAAGGGCTATGAAACACAACTGGTCGTGCCTCGCTATTCTGCCCTGCCCCGTTCAATATCCATGCTGGTTAACACTTCTTCAGGGGAATGTTCAAGCAACAGCAACAGTGACTCAGACTGTCTTAGTTTGGTGGACAGCTTGGAGGAAAGGCCCTCCTCATGCACAAGTAAACACAATTCCACAAAACATGACTCTAAACCTGTACGAGGGGACATACTCCAGCTGTTACCAGAAGACAGAAATTATAAACACGGTTTACACAGAAGGATCAATGCAGCAACACCTCGAGGGAAAGGCAAGGCATTCTTTGTATCCATGGAAACTGGTCTTGATGAAGCAGGTACTGTCAAAGTAGATGAAGACATTGAAAAACAAGTTGTATCACAAAGCATGCCAGAGAGGTTAAAGAAGAAGCTGACACAGAGACATCTGCAGATAGACCTTAAAAAGAACAAAAAGAAGAGACTCAAGAATCAGGGTGAAGATGTAGTCATGAACACAGAACAGAAGGAGAATATTCGAGCAGAGGTGGAGACCAGTGGTGGAGTGGTTGTACATGCAATGACTAGCACACAGAGCACAGTAGATAAGAATGCTCTCAGAGAGATGTCACAAACTGAGAACAAACCTCATGAAGAAGTAAAGGCTATAGACCCAAGTGTTCCCATAAAAACCATACACAAAAAATCACCAGCAGGATTGCCTCCTAGTATAAAATCAAGCGCAGGAATATTTCAACCTGTGTCACAAAGCAAAGCTGGGGAAAGGACTTTCATTTTATCAAGCAATGGCTGTAAGGAAAAAAATGAAAGGAAGTTACCAGAGAAAAGCATTCCTGTAGGAGGGTTATCGATGTTCCCAAGTGTTGAACATATGATAAAGAAAGAATACATACCACAAGAACACAGTCCACCTGTAAAACGGTTTAAAGCATCAAGACCTGACTTTCCATCACAAGTAGGCCAGGAAACTCCAAAGGAGGAGGAAGTTAACATTTCACAAAATGGGATGACAAATCGTAAAGAAATGAAACATGAAGAACAAAGTCCTCTGCTGAAAACATCAAATTCAGCAGAACATAAGGAAAAGAAATCTCCTGGGCAAGAACCTACAGTGAAGACTGCAGATTCTGCAGGAAATGGAAATAAAGAACATGGTGTACACAGGCAGGAAGAAGAGTGTACTCTAAATGTTTCAAAGGAAGTACAGAAAGTACAGAAAGAAGTTAAATCAATGAAGAAAGTTATGCCTCAAGAAACATCAAATGTCCCAGTAGAAGAAAATATGACAGCAAAAGAGCAGAAACCTGAAGAACAATGCCCTCCTCTGAAAACAGCAAATGGCTCTAAGAGGAAGATGCAGAAAGGTGATAAATATGCAAAGGAAAGCGAAACAAAAAAGAATTCAAGAAACGAAACTAATGCAACAAAACATGAAGATCATAGTCTTCCAGTGAAAACATCAATACACGAGGCCAATAACAGAAAAGAGAATAAAATAACAAATGAAAGAAAGTTACTTGAAAATGGTGAGGGATTTGCCAAAGAATCTCCATCTCTTGCAACAAGAGAATCTATCTTGAAACCACATGAAAAGTTAGAAGGTAAGGAAGCAAAAATGCCTCTAAAGCAGTTACAGAATTGCAAAAATCTGCTACAACATAACACAAAAGAGCAAAAGACTGCTAACAGAGGTAATCTTAAGAACAACATTAATACAACTGAAGGACAGCAAGTAAAAGCAGCAACAGCATCACCTGCTGAAAGAATATCCTCTCCACAAGTTGTCTACCAGAAGATAAATCATGAGCACAGCATGAAATCTAACATAGCAAAAGCCACAAAGTCATCGGTAGCCAAAAAACCTCCTGAAGAGAAATCACTCATTACAGTGTCCTGCCAAACTTCACCAGAACTGAAGTGTGAAGATGAGAAATGCAGTGCCACACCAAACACAATTCTTCAATCTAACATACCAGAGTCACCACCAGACCCAATTAAAAACAGACCTCAGCTGCCACTCAAGTCAGCGATACCTATCATGAAGTCACCCATAGGAACAAGGAAACTGAGCCCAGACACTGCAGTCACATTTCAACAATCCCTCCAGAACTCACACTTGCCTGTCCACAGACAGTCACGGCTTCTTCATGCCCCACAAATCAGGCGGTCAGCCAATCTCCTGGGGGCCAAATTCCACCAGAGATTTGAAGTGATTCCAGAAGAAAGAAGCGGATCACTGGAATCCTCTGCAGAAGACCAGTTACGGCTGACTATTGACAGAAGTCTGAGATCTTCTTTGTCAGCTGGACAAACAGGCACCAAAGTCAGCGCTGGTAGCTGTCTGGGTGGATGGAGCAACATAGTCTCACATAGCTGTCTCGGCCTTAACCAGGTAAACAAGCACAAACAGACCAGACACAGTGCTTCCAACAATGAAAGCAGTACCAGCAATCATGAAGAAAGCGATAATGGGAATGTCAGAGCAACCAATAGTGACATTAGTAGAAAGGCCATACGGAGACCAATAAGGCATTCAAGGATTCCCATGGCAGAGAAATTAACAAGACAATCAAGGATACCAGAGGACTTGTATATAGAGCAGGAAGAGAACTACCAGGGAAAAGCTGCATTAGCACCCCACACAGAGGATAAGGACCTACTGACACTCTCCAAGGGGTGGCTCAACTTCTATCTGTTGAAAGACAGCTGTGGTACACCAGATAGCAGTTGTGGGGAAGGTAATGTTCACTGAAAGTGAATCTAAGACGCCTTTTAGCAGATGTTAAGATGTTACACTGATATTTACAGTGCAGATGTAAGAACATAGACATAAATTTAATTGTTTCTTGCATCCTGTTGTGTATTTAATCAATATTAGAGTTAATTTTACCAACCACACAACACGTTTTTATTTACTGTCACACTACATGTTTCGACCTCAAGAGGTCATCCTGAGGTGTACGAACACAGTTGCACAATCACACGCAATCACATTCGTTTTTCCACTTATTTTGATCCATCATGACAAGGAACGTAATAGATCCAACATCAGAGGACGCCGAAGAACAACAAGACCTTCAAAAGTGAAAGTGCAGTGATGAGTTGAAGTTTAATTCATGAACTTTTTAACCAAGGGGTAATAATATAACTAGTTACAGTGAACTAAATTTTAAATTTTAAATTTTAAATTTTAACTTTTAACATTTGTATTTTTAACTTATATTTTATAAGAACTTGACACATATTATTGATCGTGGACCTGAACAGGATACAGGAAAAGAGTAGCCATCATGACAAGGAACGTAACAGATCCAACATCAGAGGACACCGAAGAACAACAAGACCTTCAAAAGTGAAAGTGCAGTCAATGTGATGAGTTGAAGTTTAATTCATGAACTTTTTAACCAAGTGGTAATAATATAACTAGTTACAGTGAACTAAATTTTAAATTTTAACTTTCAACATTTGTATTTTTAACTTATATTTTATAAGAAGAACTTGACACATATTATTGAGCGTGGACCTGAACAGGATACAGGATCAAAATAAGTGGAAAAACGAATGTGACTGCGTGTGATTGTGCAACTGTGTTTGTACACCTGAGGATGACCTCTTGAGGTCGAAACATGTAGTGTGACAGTAAATAAAAATGTGTTGTGTGGTCGGTAAAATTAACTCTAACATAGACATAGTTTACCCTATCAAAGCACCTTCTATGACATGAAGGCATAGAGGGCAATGAAAGTAAAGCTCTGTACATTGTCGATCTTTGCACTATATGGAACTGAAATGTAAGCTTTACACTCGAGCTGATTTATCCTATCTACTGGATAGGAGGCTAAGAGGGTCACCTGAGTGACCTCGATGCTCGTTTACTTGTACAAAATCTGTCACTGCCAGTGTTCATTGACAGTACAGATAGAATGCATGAAAATATACTGCTCCTTGTATAAAACTTAACTTTCTTACTTTGTACCTAAAACTGAACAGATCCTTCCATGCTGAGGTAAATATGAGGAGGAAGCTACCCAGCTGAATTCATTAGCAAGATTTAATCTCTTATCCAGTTTCTGAAACGTTGCATTTTGTTCAGAATACCAGATCATGGTCAGTGTCCTGGAAAGAGCAATTTCGAAACTATAGTCCATTCTCAGAGATGAGACAGTCAGCGTAAACAAAGCAAGCCCAGAGTCGCCACAGCTGACAGCAAGGAGTGGACAAAGCGTGCAGTTACTCAGTGTGCTCACTGCATTCAGACTGAAGAGTGAACTTTGGATGCCCCTGCAACAAAACACGCATCACGTGATCACTGCATGATTTCATTCAAAGAACGAAGGAGACAGCGCGTGCGTTTGTTTACGAGGACTCTCTCGTCTCCGCGAATATATCACGAATTAGAGTGACTACTAGATGGTGTTTCTCTGGTTCTACAATTCTTGCTTTGAGTAAATATGCCACAATATGTTTCCATACAAAGTTACTGGACTTAATGAGATGTACATTTTATGCTATGTACAATCTGTCATATAAAGAGAAATGACAAAAATTTTATTTGAGCTTCCTCAATATAAAGTGGGCAATATCTGACTGACATGGACTAAATTCTGTTAGTGTAGGCTTCCTAAATACAAAAATTCATTAAACTCTGTCAAGCAAATTTGAAGATGAAGAGAGCAGACCTACACATCTCACTAATTGTGTACCTATACAGTCTGTCTTTGTATCACTGCCTACATTCTCACACCTTCCTTCTCTTCACTGCATGCGAGTCACCTAACAGCCAAGAACCTCCATCAACCTCTGTCTTTCTAGAGCTACTCCTCATCGATTCCCTCCATTTTATGTAACACCAACCCAATCCACTGTTCCAATTTTTATCCCATTCATCATCTTGGGCATTTTTATTTTACCTTCACCTTTGAAACCTTCTTTGCAATTTTCTTTCCATTCATCCTTAAAACACGTCCATACCATTTTAGTCTGTTGCTTATTAATTTATCTTCCAATATATTAATCTTTAAATTATGTTTCATTTATTAATTTCTTATTCTATCTCTCCTGGTTTTTCATTCCATGCTTCTTAATAACCTCATCTCAGCTGCTTGCTTCTACTACATACATAAATATGCATATGCAATAACTGTTACATGTATTCTCCTTTTTAGACACTTCCAATTTCTAGAGTATGTTCATAACTACTTGATTTATTTTCACATTCTTTATTATTTACATAATTTCTTCCTTTATCCTTCCAGATGTCACTATTTTACTTCTTAAGAACTTAAAACTTAAAACTTGGAAGGGGTGTGAAGTTGATCACTCACATCTATCTAGTGTCGAGATTAAGAATGAAGGAGCATTACCTCCACTGCCCATACGTCTTCACGGCATTCTTCTCTGCTTTTCTTACACAAGATTATTTTCATAGTTGTCATTATCTGTGAGTCGGGAATGTAAGTCAGTTACTAACCCATTCCTGCCTCATTTATCCAGTAGTCTCTTCAAAGGTCTTATTACTCAGTTCCTTGAACCATGAGGTTAATTTTTTTTTTTAGTTCTGGAAGTGTGTTTGTTTTCGGTCTATTGACAAGGATATCTGAAAACTCACAGATAGCAGAGCTAATACCATACAACTCCTAGAAAGTCTTTCCATCAGGAACATGCCATTACCTGCAAGCCTCAGAGAGAAAAGCTTACTTTCATAACCATACATATTTGCCATAAGTTTGCTAATGCCCATGTTAATTCAAACCTCTGTTTCACAGCACAAACTGATGTGCCAGAAAGAGAGAAAGGAATATCACAGAAAAAGGGAGCTGTGTTTCCAAGAACCGTAACTGTTGTGGGTGGTGATGATAACAGAATACGACAGTACACTGTCCCCAGCCGTCTGCTACAACAGAACAGAAACAAAGACAAAGAAGCACCCACAATCTTGCCAGAACTGACCAGCAATCACAACATGAGGAGGACCTCTGCTGTTTCACTACAGAAACTACCTGTAGCATTACTAAAACCAAATGATTCTTCGGCAGGCTCCGACAACAGCACAACGTACCTCTGTCTGCCAAGTCCCCATCTCAATGCTAACTATCTACTGGAAGGTTCAGGGGAACTTGCATGTTCAGAATCATCTGTGTCATCAAGCAGTGATTCAGAGTGTGATCAAGCAACAAGTCCAGCCATGCTTCCAAACAGATTGCCCACCAGACAGCCCCAGAGAGGTTCAACTCACCACTGGTCACGGTCTCGGAAAAAACACTATAAGTCTGAACAATTCCAGTCCCACAGTCAGAGTGCTGGAGGTGGTAAGTATTGCTGACAGGCTCAGTTAAACGTGACCCAACTGTGCAATCATAACTGGTACACATATGTGAGGTCTGAGGGGAGCTGAATTTCTTAGCTTTACAAACCAAAGTAACCACTATTTTTTTGTTTTCCCGTTCATTATTTAATGAAAAAAAAATAAATTGATAGAACGGTTTCTCAACATCACCAGTCACTGCACACACAAGTGGTTCAGAAATGGCATTCTATTTCACGTACAATATATTTGTATTTGTGATCTGTCTAGTCTCTGGACAATCTAGTACTGCTATCAAAGAGGTGGACATGGTAAGCATTGCTGGCAGGGTTAGTTGAACAAGACTTAACCATGAAGTTACTAGTGTCAGTAGTTTACCAAGATTCTAGACAATTTTAGACCTACTACCATACTGAAATCAACTGAACACAGTGCAACAATACACAATGTCAAATGTAAACCACGGGAAATGTAAAGAATCAACCAACATAAACTGCTTACAATCTATCAGTCAAGCCAAAAATATATTTTTCTTATACAGATTCCTATTAGTAAAGTGCAAGTTGGCTGTAGTGTAGTTGGTTGAGGCACTACGCTACGAGCTGGAAGGTCATGGGTTTGGGTCCAGATGAAGTGGACTTTTTTCAATTTACCTAATCCTTCCAGCCACACTATGGCCCTGGGGTCGACCCAGTCTCTAACAGAAATGAGTATCAGGAATCTTCCTGGGGGGTACAGAGCAGCTGGTGTGTAAGGCTGACAACCTCACCACGATCTCTGAGCTGACTTTTTAGAGAAATTGTGGGAGCCTTGACGTCTCACAACCCTATGGGCCTCCACAGCCTGTTACAAAGATAGCTTTACCTTTTTTACCTTTACAACTCAGCTATTCAGAGTAAATCAACATATGTATACGCCTTATGTTCCCCCCGGATATGGCCAGACACGGAGATTAACTACTAACCAATGATGACAGTCCCATCTCATTAATGCTATGTAACCTCCATAACTAATCAAATAAACCTTGTTGGCTTGCATTTGTGGACTTGTTTCAGGCAGTGCTGGATGGACAGTGACTGTCGCTGGCAGCAATGCTTGTCCCCAGCAGCCACCAGAACTCGAGATGCGTCTCTCATTCCCATCGTGTGCACGACGACCAGGAGCAAGTCAATCAGATTCAGGGCTGGGGGAGGACAACAACAATGGTGAGAAGTCCAAGAAACAGGAGCAGAAGGATGATAACCACTTCCTGCCTCCTGCTCAGTCAGCTCCCCAGCCCCACAAATGGACTCTCATGGTCAAGAACCAAGGTACAGCTGCCCAGGGCACAGTATTAGCCATGCTCAGCAGGCACTGCAATTACACACATTAGTAACAGACTCTGGGGTCTGTGACACCCGTACATACTATTTGTGGCAACTTGACTTTGAATACTTAAAGTCACATTCTCAATACCATCTTAATCACCAATTCCTAACCAAAACTCATAAAGGTAAAACTCAATTTAACAAAATGCTGATGCCCAAGCAACAGCTGAATCAATAATGTGACTACAGATTTTAGTTTTCTTAGATATGGTGCCATGTAGTTTGGTAGATAGGTGCAACCTTACTCTTGAATTATGATGTTAAATTTGTCTGCAACTAACATTTATATTCATTGAGTCTACTTCCATTTCAGGAGGATCTGAAAGATCACACGAAATATCAAAATCTGCAAGAAGGACTTCTCAGTACCTTCCAGATTTGGGGCACAATCCCAGCCAAAGTAAAAACTCAAAGAAAGTCTTAAAGGTACTAAAAAGTAAGAGGATTACTTCTTTAAAATTGAAATCTAGTTAAATGATATCTATGTGAGGTTCTTATGTATAGACACAACGATTCTCAGGGTCCCACAATTGTACACACATTCAGGGAGCCTCAAATATTAGTTTAACAGTAACATTAAGATTTTACTTGCTAGGTAGCTGAAAGTTCTATTATGAAAATCATAATATTGACATGTAATATACTTCAAGCATTTCTAACTTAACATTATAATTAGATATCCTGCAGTTTCAGGAGGTTCCAGGTTCAACTCTCAGACCAGAAATTATCTATTCAGACTGAGGTTTCAAATGGTTTACTTGCCCATCCTTCTAACCAAGAGACAACTGGGGTGCTCTTTTTAGCCTACTTTCCTTATTTTGAAATACATATATGATAGCTTGCCGGTCACGGTAGCCGAGCGGTCTATGGCATGCACTGTCTTCGCTCGCTCGGAAGCCTGGCTCGGGGGTTCAAATCCCACTCAGGGCATGGATGTTTGTGTGCCTTTTTCTGTGTTTGTCTACAGGTAGAGGCCTTGCGACGAGCTGATCACTCGCCCAAGGAGTCCTACCGAATGTTTAAGATCTAGTAAACCGAAGTGAAACGGAGAGTTTCATGGAGGTAGGCCTAGGCCAAAATTGGGGCTGTAGCGCCACAGAAGAAAAAAAATATGATAGCTTATGAGATCACATTGCTCTCTGTGTCCCCCTCCCCCATCTACTTTTTTGCATGTGTATTCATTGCCGCAGGAAGGTGTTTACTGAGGTGTAGTTAGATCTGTCTTTTCTGGCTTTCAGGTGTCATGTCATATTGCATTCAAAAGTTATTTTACGAAGTGTTTTGTATGCAGTCTGTGTCATATCAAGTACTCAAGATGTAGTGAAAGGAAATTAGGCAATTAGTTCTTTTCAGAACTTCATGTTTGTTTTTATTCATGAGGTGGGGTGGGATGAGACTGGGTCAACTTTGTATGTAAGCCACTAGTGCGTCTATTGTGATGATGATCGTGGAGCAGTTGATGGAATGGCAACTGGCAGAATAAACTGAAGTACTTGGGGAGAACCTTCCCCAATGCCACTTCCACCACAAATCCATGACCTGACCTGGGATCAAACCCAGGCCACCATGGTGAGGGCAGCAACTAACCAACCACTTGAGGCATGACATGGCCACCTGGAGAACTCACCCCATGGGTAAAGTAAGGAATGAAGCTGACCACCCACCTCTGTCTGGTTCCACTGTTGATACGGCATGAAAATCTATCTCCCATTCTCTGTACACCTTCATGACACGATGTTCAGATACTGGGACACCCTTTTACCTTTTCAGTTACTCCAGGAAAATGCTGGGGTAGTGTTCAAATGGCCTATGGCTAATTACATCAATATTCTCCTGCTCCAAGTAAATGCAGCAGGTCTTTACTCACTTTGAAAAACCATCTGGGTGCTGGGTCATAGTTGAAACCCCAAATTTAAAGCGTGAGAATGTGATAATGTCAGGGCTATCATATATCATATACCTCAGAGGATGGTGACAGATGAGCATGAGGCAATGGCAGAATGGTGATTACCATGTGAAAACCAAAGAAACTTGGAAAGAACCTGCTCTAGTGCTAATTTTTCCACCAAAAATATCAGACAGCGAGCCACACGCTCTGCACTAAGAAGCCAGAGCCTAACTGCCTGAGTTAGGGCATGGCAAACTGGAAATATTCTGGAAAGTTTATACATTCTTAATTGGGCGATGTCCAAGTGTTCAGTCTGCAGACCCACTATCTGTATGTGGAAGGACACAACTGTGTCTTCAATCAGGAGAAAATATTCTACACAGAAATTCACACCACTTTGCAAGACCTGAGGTGTCACAGTGGTGTAGATTAATTTTCTGTTCTTCTGGCTTATGACACTGTGCAGTTCTGACCAAGCAGTTTTGAAGTGGTGATGCTTCTGATCCTTATTTGGGAGGCACCAAGTTCAAATCTCAGCCAGGACACAGACTGTCCTGAGTGAGTTTTCCAGTTTTCCTCAGCATCTCAACTTAAATCACGACCACTTCCCACCACATATTATAAATAAACCTCTGAGAAATAAATTATGTACTGTGTTGCTGTGTATCAGATAGTTAGCACAGTCTTCAAGAAATGTGATGCCCAAATCTCCATCTTATACTCTGAAGATGGGTGCAGTATCTTCCACTGAAGCACTAGTAACTATCTACGGAACTACAAGATGGCATCACAACCCAGACAACCACATTATGAAGCACTGAAGCTTGTTTTTGTATGTTAGTTACTGATATTCTTATAAAAAAAAAAAAAGGGTAAATTTGGCTTAGTTAATGTGAAAACAAATTTTTGGACACTCCATGTTAATTTAATACTGTCACGTATTAGTGTTCTGATCATTAGACAGGGTATGGATTGGCTGTTTGGATTTATTGCACTTATATACTCAACTCGTAACTACAAGTACTGCAGGCAATTACGGTGCTACCTTGAGTCTCCGCATTTTACAGATCACTCTTAGACGCACCAGTGTCCTCAGTCTATTACTGTCTCCACCATGCATTTCCTGGCAATGGATTTTAAACCAGGAACTATAAGTCTCACTGAGTTACACACTCCAGATATCACACATAAAGCCTTCTCTCTGCAGCTACTTTCAACTCCACTGACTGCACTCAATAATTCTGATGTCTCAATTCCTCACTTCAACTCCTCTGCTCCTGACCTCATTTCCTGGCAGGCTGGTGTCTCAGAACTCAATTGACTCTCAGTTGCCATCTCAAGAGACTCCCTCAAGTCTTCTCTCAGCTGCCCGAGATCCTCGTTATATAGCCTCTGGGCGGCCCCATCAGAAGACACCGTTTCCTAACAAATCTAATATGTTTACCTTGCCATTGCATAGAAACAGCAGTTCTTCCACTGTTGTGTTCGTGTTCATTTCTGCAGGAACCTGTTTACCGAGTTGTTGCCTAGCAACAAACGTCTACTCTGGCGCCGCTATTCCAGCTTTCAGGCATTATGTCACAATATGAAATATACAGTGTAATGAAACTGCAAGAGTTGAGGTTCTTGCAATGGTGACTATGAGGATTACTGTCCTCTGGAATGTGATGCCGTGTGGTCTGATAAGACTGTTACCCAACATCACCAAATGTTGGTAACAATCTGCCAGGCCACATGGCGTCACATTGCAGAGGACAGTAATCCTGTAACTAAACTGTCTGCAAGACAAAGATGCATAAAACTGAACACAAGAGTATTCCTCATGCATGAGGGACAAGTAAAGTTCTCAAGGCAGTAGGTGAATGGGACTGCCACAGCCTGTGTTTCTGGTTTCAGAGACCAGACTCATGCTTCCCTGTGACTTCAATTGCTGATGGAGATACAAGGAAGAGCAACAACTTCTCTCTGTTATGGCCAAAGGTCAAAAAAATCATGGAGAGTAAAGTGATTATTAGGAAATCCAGTGGGTAAGGCATGCATAATAAGGAATTTCCCTATTCATTTCCTTTAATTAACAATGCTGAAGCTGACGTTAATTCCACTGTTGGGTTGTTATGTCACGTGGATGTGGGCAATGTTGCCGACATTTTGGAGGTACATACTGCCTCCATCTGCATGGGTGGAGTGTCTAACGTGGGTGTTTCTGTGTATATATGGATAACAGTACTGGGGGGGGGGGGTTTGTATACATAGAAACTCCCAAATCTAACACATTTTTACCCCAGCAATGGAGACAGCAACTGCCTCCAAAATGTGCATTGCCAACATCCACTGGGTGTAGCAACCAGAGAACTGAATCAACAGCAACATCTCATTCACAGCATGGAAAGGGTGAATGTTGGTAACATGCAGAGCTCACTCAGCTGGACAACACACACGTGCTGTAACAACAGTGGAATGCATGAACAATGAAAGTCAAGAGTGCATGTAGTAATTATATTCTCCTGTGCCTAACATAGCAGAACACAGCAAAATCAAATGTCTGCTGCCACACTTAACAAAGCACATGAAGATACATAAACTAACTGGTCTTATAGTTGGGTTACTTTTCATTTTATGATGCTGCAAGCAGCCAGACTATACAGTGTTAAAGAGCAGATTGACAGATAAATGATGAATTAGGCAGGGTTTGGAATAAAGCAGCTGTACACTAGTTGCGGCACTATGTTGGCACATACACACAGGGATCAAGCAAGACCACAAAAACCTCAGTCAGGATAGGTGGTGTCCTTGCCAAGATCTGGACAAAGAACTTCCTGAATATAACTTCAAAATGTTACCACTATGACAAACCACTTGGGGCCCAGTCTTATTAGCATCTCGATGAAATTACTTTAAGTTGTGAAGCAGAGAGTTAAAAACAGATCTTTACAGAAATACGTTGTAAAGATATGAGATGACTGAACTGGTTTGGGACCCAAGCATAATGGCAGACTTTTGTGATGGTAATCATAAACATGCAGGTTCCACAATTTTTGATCGGTTGAATAAACATCAAGGGAAGACCCTCAACAAGAATTTAGTTAATGGGTACAAAATAAGCAAACATTTATTTATTTTCATGTTGGATTCAAGGTTTTCATGACAGTGAATATAAGAGTACTGTCTTCTGGGAACTGACACCGTATATTCTGGCAGAAAGATAACAATGCTTCATAAGGGCCTGCTGTCTTCATTCTTGGAGTAAAAGAGTAAACTGTATAAGAAGGGAGGAAATAGGAGCAGGAAAACGAGAGATATGAGCCCCAGAAAAGGCTGGACCAAATATTCTGGGGAAAAAAGAGGCAAGACTACATAGGGTCATATCCATGTTGACAATGGTGGTCTTTTTTATATAAGGTCTATATAATAATGCTGTCAGTAACTCAGATTATAAAGCATCAAATGGTATGATGATTAGCGAATAATGAATTAAAAAGAGTGTGGGAGCAGTTGTGGCCTAACCCAAGATACTATCATAGCATCTGAATGGATGGCCTCAAGAAAACAACAGAAAAGCTACCAAGATAGCCAGTTTGTGAGCAGAAATCCAAATCCAGGCCCTTCCAAATATGAGACAGGACAGTGATGTTCAGCAATAACCAATAAAACTTTCTCACATAGGTGTAAGCAAACCAATGATAACATCGTTTGTGACTGAAGCTGTTCTGTTCACAGGCACGTCTCACAAGAAGTGAAGTCAATTTCAGAGCTGCTAGAGAATGAAGATGGCGCAATTATCCTAACATCTGGCCTTGGCATTAAAGGTTCTGCCATAACTCCAGAGAGAAAACCAAGAGTGCCAACAATGAGTGAGAGAGATCTGACCAGAAGCCACACAGCAAGACACTGACATGCTTCTAGGTTGGCAAAAATGAACTCACAACATGCACAACTACACCAGTTCCTATTAAAAAAAAAATACATGGAACTTACCCACCATTAACTGTTCTTCACAGAACACATCATATAAATCAAACATATGAGAATTTGAACAGAAATCTTGCAACAGAACGTTTATATTACATCCAGGTCAACATCCTCAGACATCCTTTGGTCTCATCTGATAATAACAGCATCCACAGTCCATGTAACATTAAATAATTCTGCATCACTTTACTACCTTATGACAAGGCAATCACTTTACCTGTAGTTTTGTATGGAAATAAGTACTTGGTCTCTCATATTATGGGAAGAACATAGAGGATGTCTGAGAACAGGATGCAAGAGAATATTTTAATATCAGTGGGAAGAAATGACAGAAAAATTACATCACGAGGAGCTTCATATTTGTACTCTTCACAAAATATTATTAGAATGATTAAACTGGAACTTATAAAACAGTGGGACATCTTGTATGGATGGCAGAGATGAAAAATGCAAACAAAATTTTGGTCAGAATACTGTAAGGACAGAGGGCACATGGGAAATGTAGATGTATATGACAGGATTATATGAAATTTAATCTTGAAGTGTGAAGGCATTTTACTGATATAACATCTCTGTATTTGTAGAAGTCTGTAATTTATTTTTGTTTTTGCAAAGTTAATTTACAAAAATCACAACAATTACAATAAAGAAAGCACTGAGAAATGTTGCAACAGTCTGTTGCAAATCTGAAATCACACTGTCTTTGTCAAAATGCTTCACTTATGTCTAAATGACTGCAACATGAGACAGCACCTGCAGATAATAACATCAGTACTGACAACTGATAATTTAGCTCTAGTGCATGGCAACTCCACCGGGGGTGTCTGAGCACAGGGTGCTGAGGAGAATATTTGGACCGAAGAGAGATGAAGTGACAGGAGGTTGGAGAAAACTGCATAATGAGGAGCTTCATAACTTGCACTCTTCAGCAAGTATAACCAGAATAATCAAGTCAAGGAGGATGAGATGGGTGGGGAATGCAGCATGAGTAGGGGAGAAGAGCAATGCATATAGTGTACTGGTGGGAAAGCCAGAAGGAAAGGGACCACTAGGAAGACACAGATGTAGGTGGGGGGACAATATTAAAACAAATCTTAGGCAGACAGAATGGGGTGGTATGGACTGGATTGATCTGGCTCAGGATAAGGACAAGTAGAGAGCTCTTGTGAAAACGGCAATGAACCTTCGGGTTCCATAAAATGCTGGGAAGTTCTTGAGCAGCTGTCCAGTTGGTGGCTTCTCAAGAAGGGCTCAGTTCCATTAAGTCAGTTAGTTAGCAAGGCAAATGTTGCAAACCAGAAGTGACATCACTACAGTGAAAAATTTAAGCTATCAACCTGAATACACCACAAAAGACTTGTTGTCAATTTGACTATTCCAGAAGTGACACATAATCAACTTGTATTTAACAAAAGAAATATGTTACCAAGTTACATATACCATAAGGCACACACTATAAACTAGTAGGTGCTGCTGATATGTATACAACAGAAGATGAATTTTTTCCTCTGCAGGTTAATTAACGATGCTTTTTCAATATTAAGAACATTGCAAGAGGCATTTTATCAGCTTTTATATGTTATAAGAGGCATGTTATCAAATTTCATATATCATAACATGCACGTTATCAACTCTTATATATCAAATGAAACGCTATCAAACCTCAGGGTTCCAGAAGTTACATACTATCAATCTGTACACATCAGAGAAATTAATTTATACACATAAAAGAAGTAACAACACACCTGAAGGCACATATGAACTTCAGGGTCCCAAATGTGATACATTATCAATTCATATATATATATATATACAGTAGAACTTGGTTATAACATCATCAAAGGGACCTAAAAATAGTGTCGTTATAAACGAATGTCATTGTAACCAAAATGGGCACTTCCACAGTAGCCTTATGTTAGTCACGTAAAAATCTACCAAAAACCGAGTTAAAATGTTGCATTTTTTAGTGAAATACGTAGTTAAGTACAGACTAACGTAACATTAACGTGGAATTGCCCAAATGTGTAATATCAAAGACATATTACAGCGCTTTTCACTGACAATACACACAATATTTCACGAATCACTTTAACTTTCTCTTCAATGCTTAAAACTTTCCTTTTCATTGCCATGTTTTCACTACTGCACTTCTCTGGGTTTAGGCAGGAACACTATAGGGTAAGTAGACAATGTGAGGTCCTGTTAGACGAGATTCTAGGAAAGGAATGCAGTTAACAACCTGCCACGTCCTCTTGCACTATTCACGCAGTCCCACCCCACACCCTTGTTTTCGCATAAAACCCACGCTCCTCTTGCAGCCCGCGGTCGTATTCTTCCAGGACAGTCACGTCAGCAAGTAGAGAAAGTGAGGGTGGGCAGACACATCGAACTTTCCCACGATATCAGAGAAATTCAGGAATGAAAATGACGTTACATACGAGGTTGATGCATTTGTGCATGTTGTACTAAGCAAGGTATAAAAACAGTTGCTTTATGAGGAATTAGTTCGTACCATTCAATATTTGATGCAATAGACAAGGTGTCACAGAAACCGATGTTGCTATAACCAAGTTTTACTGTGTATATATATATATCAGAAAAGGAACATTACAAATTTTTATATATAAGCAGGTTATCAATGTGCAAGTCATTTATCACTTTGTGTATACCAGAAGAGACAAGTCATGCATTTATATACATATATATTTATTTATTTATTCAGGTATTTGAGATCATGCAAGCATCACTAACAGTTTCAGCACCTCCTGCCTTTCTGTTCGCTGTTTCCATTTTTATATGAAGCCTGTATGACTGTACAGTTCTGCATAACTGAGAAGTGTGTCGGTCTGACACCGGTGGTGCTGTATGACACAGCAACTTTTATTCAACTTGTAAATAATATTGCTGTATAATAAAAATTGTTGTTTCATATTCTTATTCTTCAGGACAATTAAAACTACCATTATTCACTTCTTGATGAATAAATATTGCTATCTGTGTTAATATCTTTGAATTCAGTATACCGACTGACTGGGAGAGCCATGACATAGGTCAAGTGGCTGAATTCCAGCTCCTAAATATGGAATGACATTTATGCAGGGTTTTCTAAGAGAATTATGATTTTCCTCTACCTTCTTCCAAAATGCTTGTACCTTTATGCCTTACTACCTGGCATCATAACCCAGAAGACACTAACAAGCCGTGAAGGCGGTTATAAACATTTTGGAAGAACCTACCACTGTCACCTTCTTACTTGAAGACAGAAGCAACAGTGCACTCTGAAATGTTTGTGTCCACCTGTTAGACCACATGATGTCTTAAGTCAGAAGACCACCATCTAATATTTTAATATTGTTAGGGAAATGTGACGCAGTAGTGTACTTGGATGAGGCACTATGCTACAAGCCAGTAGGTCGCAAGTTTGATTCCCAATGAGGTCACTGGATTTTTCAATTAACCTAATCCTTCCAGCCACACTATGGCCCTGGGGTTGATTCAGCCTCTAACAGAAATGAGTACCAGAAATCTTCCTGTTGGTAAAGGGTGGGTGGCTTGCATGTAAGGCTGACCTCACCACCAACAGTGAACCAAGTGTCTAGAAACTGTGAGGGCCTTGACATCTTACAACCCTTTGGGCCTCCATAGTCTGTTACAGAGATAGCTTTACGTTTTTAGGAACTTGCAAAATCAGAGATTCAAGGTTTTCATGGCAGGAACTACAGTCTTCCAAATGTAACGAGCTACATGGCATCACAACGCAACAGATCATAGCCTTAAAATTACGGTACAATGACTAGAAATAATGTCTGACTACAAAACAAACAAGGCAATGTGAAAATGCTGCAATTCACTGTGAACTAGGCAGCACTTCCCACAGACTTTGCATTGTGAAACCATCTTTAAGTTTCTCGACCGCCAATCCCAGCTCTGGACTGTACACAGGTTCACGGTCCTTCTTGTGTCCAGAATCCGCAAAATAAGCCACAAATGCATTTGACAGCACGTCACCCGAGTCATCAAACTCTTGGATATCTTCTATCAGAGACGGTGGTTCTGGACATGTTTCAACCTACATGGAAAGAAACAAGCTGGACATTAATCCCTTCCATGGTGGGCTTTTATTAACTCTTTCTGTTTACAGACACATACATGTCCTTTGACATATTACATTAGATGAGGTTACATATATCCACCTGAGGAAGACCATGTAATGGTTATGAACAATTAATATAATATCCAGTGTATAATAGTGACTTTGTGATTAATTAATACATGCTCATTATTACACAACTGACCAACATGACTGGCATGTTGCATACAGGTGACAGATGAATGTAACCAACTGAACTAAACACAAACAGATGCTACAGTACAGAATTAAGAAGGGAGAAAATTGTGGACAGACAGATTTTGTTCTGTCTATACACAAAAGAAATGCAGTCAGAGATGAGATAATAAAACAAATGAGAAGAGGAGATGAAAGAAATGAAATACAATTCTCATTTAGATGACCTATAATAACATAAGCAAACTTAATCCAGCCAGAAGAAAACCATGACATGATGACAGAATCCATTTGTTCAGTTTGCCCAAGCAAACTGAACTACTGTGAGAACTGGGGGGTTTTCATGGGGGGACTATGGAGATTACTCTTTTCTGGGGTGTGACATCTTGTAATTTGGTAGATAAGTAGCAATGTTTTGGAGAAAGCTGCTGCTTCATTTTCAAGGTAGAATATGGAGGAAGCAGGGTCTTCCACAAAACTGGCACCTGTCTACCAAACTACAAGGTGTCACACCCCAGAAGACAGCCATCTTGCCTACTGTCAACTTCAACTCTGGCTGGTTATCTGTTCACAAAGTTCACTAGATGCACTGTATCTAGAATATAATACATGCCAGATCATAATACTTATGTTCTGATACATCTGCAATGACAAGTTGCAAAATACACTTATAATCTTGGTCATGTGTGTCCATCTACCTGCTTACACACAACATTTTGAGAACTGCCATACAAATTTAACCTTTATCGGACGAACGTCATCATATGATGTCGTTAAAAGTTAGGGCAGCTGGCCGAACGTCATCATATGATGTCGCGGATTCCACGCGTGTAAGGTTTTTTT